AGAGATCAGTTTGAATCTTGACACAATTGAAAGTCCTAGTTAGACACATAGTGACTCATTTAAATTATTCGGTAACTTCTTTTAAACTAATATGCAAGTTATGTTGTTATGAGAGTGGGGAAACTGTTGGAAGTGTTGACTAAACTAGTATTTAGGGGTTGATTAAAAATGGAAGTCTCTGATGCATGTGCATTTTTCCCAGGTTTAACCGGAATGGCCATCTGAAGTTCCACATGGAGAGGCTGCACATGCAGGATCCTCCCCCTCGCAAGCCCAGATCCAACAGCTCCCAACAGACCATCATAGTCAACAGCGATGAGGAGGCCCTGGCAACTCTGCAGAGTGAGCACTGTAAATATATATAACTGACATGCAGCAGGCTACTCATGAGTCTGATTTCAGATCATAAAGATTCATATTTTTCCTTATTAGTAGAAACCATTGCTCAAGTCCACCTGCACAAATAACCAAATATGACATTGTCAATTTAGGTGGTAGCATTGCTGTGTTCTTGTGTTTTTATATAAATATCTGTAATGCTTCTGCCCTTTCTATTTTCTGTACATGTAACAGCCTTGCAAGCTGGTCAGACCGTAATCAGTTCAGAGCAACTGCAGCAGGCTTTGGAGCAAGAACATATAATCGTAGCACAGGAGCAGGCTCTCTCAGACCAGGTACAGCCATCCACACTCCACTCCAGTTATTGTTACCACTAATGCAATCAATGTTTATAAGATTATTAGGATAGAATCAAGCAAGAGTCACCCTTTACCCCTATATATTCTAACTAACAGGTTAAAATCTCCTGACCTTGAGCATTTACATCGTCTCAGGCATTAAACCTTGTGCTTTTTTCCTGATGATTCATGTATGAATAAATGTCTTCTCTCTCAGGAGGAGGCTACATACATTCAGCAAATAACCACAGTAGATGGCCAGACTGTGCAGCACTTGATGACGGCAGACAATCAGGTGGCAGAGGTACTGTTGTCTTTTTATAGTATCATAATTCTCAGATCTTGGCCTATGTTAATAATCTACTATATAGTGTTCTAGGCAGTGATGTGGAACAAGGCTGCATCTGCTCTTAGTTTTACTTTGATATGAGTGACATGACTTAGTTTTCTAGCAACAGCAATGTAAGCTATTGGGAAAAACTATTAAATTGCCATGTCAGTGGTGAGCAAATTAGGTAATTCTAGTATTGATGATATGGAAAGACATTGCCCCAGTATTGGTTCCTTCATATTGACTATTTATACTGTCATGGCAAATCTGTGTTTTGTACTTCATAGGCAGAAAGAAGCTTTTATAAGTCATCTCAGTGGCTGTGAGTATAAGCGTACTAATCTCTTCATCTTTCTTCTGTCACTCAGGTCCAATATATAATCTCTCAGGACGGCGTACAGCACTTGATCCCACAGGAATATGTAGTGGTATCCGATGGCAATCATATTCAGGTCAGTGTACACTCTAATAGAATACTCAATTAAACTTTATTTAGGGCTGGCCTGAATTATTTGAATACTTGAGTATTCGTTTGTTATGATGGTATTCGATTCTATATTTAGTATTCGGAAGTGTTGTCTTTTTTTTCCTTCAAGCAGCAAAAATTGTAGCTTTAACTGTGATACATTTCATCAGCAAAGGCCTTTAGGCATCCATGTCATCTTCCCTAAGAACGCAACAAACTGCACCTTTTTTTGCACATAACCAAAGAGAAAAGATGCCTCAGAAAGAAACCATGTTAAAGGACACTTTAAATTATCAGATGATAATAAAAATGCTCAGTGCAAAATTTACGATAAGAGGTTGGCATAATGGCACAGCGTGATGAATCATCTCAATATGTAAGTATAGTTATCTATATCCAAGTACCACTAGTCCCTGCTAAAGGAGTAGCTAAAACTGGGGCTCAGAGCCTCAGTCTTGTTTGTTGTGGCAAGTTATGGATGTAGATCAGACCCCATTGCTTCTGCTGCTGCATGCATGGTGGTTCTCCTTGCATTCAGACAGGCCTGTAGCCCCAAAAGCTTCTAAATTCTGAATCCACTCTCTGGAGCTCATCTATGACTAAACTCAGCCTGTGTGACGCCCTCGCTGCTGTTTTCCATGATTAAAAAACCTCAGCAAAATGGTAATTCTAATTTGTTGCACCCTTAATTGTGACTCCTAATCAAAAAAAAATGTTTGAGTAAGAGGGCTACAATCTCGCCTTCTATATCAACATATAGCTGGGCAGCTGAGTTTCAGCCTGACTGTTAATACACCGTTGCAGTCTACTGGACATATTTTGCAGTAACTGCAGTAACAGACATAAAATTATGGATAATTATAAACGGGAATATTATTGTTCTTAAGGGTGATTTTGGAAAAAAGTATTCAGGTACTCATTTGGAAATACAAACAAGTATTTGAAGCCAGTAAAATGCTGTTCTGGCCAGCCCTACCTTTACTTCAGATGTTTTTATCTGCAAGCGAGTTTAAAAATTTAGTAGCATAAATAAGAAAAACGGGGAAGCAAATTAAGGGTTAGTCACTACGAATAATAGCGTTCCACCTTTTCAAAAACAGATGATCACACATGAGTGTCATAAATGTGGTTGGTGCATTTTCAGAGAATAAAATGCTTGTTTAAAATGTCTTTTGTTCTGTAGATGGAAGATGGGCAGATTGCTCATATTCAGTACGAGCATGATGGGACGTTTCTACAGGAACAGCAGGTAAAGAAAGGAACAGTTGCTTTTATAGAAAAAATACAACACAGTGTATAGTAAGTAAACTCACTGTTAGTGCACTAGTAGCTAATGTTCAATCCTGTGTGGGTGCGTGTGCGTGTGCGTGTGTGTGTGTGTGTGTGTGTGTGTGTGTGTGTGCGTGTGCGTGTGCACAGATTGCTCTGACTCACGACGGGCAAATCCAGTACTTCCCCATCAGCACTGAGCAACAGATAGTCAGCCCTGAGGATCTTGAGGCTGCTGCTCACTCTGCTGTCACCGGTACGCCCTTTCACCTTTTATTTTTTCCATTGATATGTTATAATAGTGATTACCACATCAGTCCATATGTAGAATATGATGATGGCAAAATGTTGCCTAGCTTGCTCAGTAGGGCTTGCAGTATCATCTGCTAACAGTTATTGTGATATCTGTTTTCACAGTACTAATATTGCAGACATTGCATTGTGAAAACAAGCATCTAACCAAACGTGAATGTTTTACTGTGTGCTGAGAGCATTGTGACCAATCACACATTTTCTTGTATGAATCAAGGCATTCACATTACCCAGCAGATATAAATCATTTGGTCAAAATTATGCAAGCTGAATGTTAACCCAAAACCTCATGTCATGCATCATTTCGTAGTAGTCAGCATCATACACAAATATACAATTCAAGCCCTTTATGAGAAAAATTAATGGCATTTTTTAAACGTCGCTGTTATGGTAAGCAAAATATTCCAAAGCCTAAATGTTTTCTTCCCCAAGAAATATTTTCCCCTGAACATCTTGGAGGCCTCTAAATTACATAGACATTAAGCAGTAAAGATCCATATATGCCACACACAAGTTAACAATCTTTCACATTTAATTGGCATCACTATGTTACGTGAAAGTACAACAACACCAGTATAACAAAACCAGCTACTTAAATAGTAGCCTACTACTACCAAAGTCAGTTGAATACCACAGTTGAGAAAGTTTGCTTTTGGCAGGGTATTCTGGTGAAGCTGCTAGTTGTGTGATGTCAAAACATTTAAACAGCCTGCTTTCAATTGGGTGCCCCAAAGCAGTTTTCAAAACTTCCTTCTACCTTCAATATAAATCATCAGAAGCAGTTTGTCCTAATCTTGAAATCTGAAATTCTCACTCTAAAACTATTTTGGCACCCTTTAAGCAGGAAACTATAACTTTACTTTTATGGCTTCCTTTTTCTTACTTGTAGTTAAGATAAGCTACAAAAGAAATTGAAGGGTTTTTTTTAATACAGTTGTCTTAATATGGATTGAATTATCTTAATGTAATTAAGCAGAACATCCACAGCGGAAGCCACGTGATGCTATTGAGTTTGGGTTTGTTCTGTTTCCAGCTGTAGCAGACGCAGCCATGGCCCAAGCTCAGACAGTGTACACCACAGAGGCCACGCCCGAGCAGCTGGAGCAGATGCAGCAGCAAGGCATCCAGTATGACGTCATCACCTTTACAGAAGAATAGGGACACCCGTATGGTTTAAGTACACAGCCTGCTGTCGTCGAGGAGTGTGAAGATCAGCAGCCAAATTCCCTTTTCATTAGAGATTGCTAAACAGAAGAAGACGTCACAGCCTGCTGTTACGCTACAGCGAGGCCATGTGCAAACAAGTATTTTTTTGTATATTCTGTATAGTACAATCAGAGAATCAGTGGGGCGGTACAGTAGTAAGCTAGTATAACAAAAATCATGCCTTGTAATTATTTAAAATGATTAATTTTACTGTGCCTCCACTGTTCTGCTTTGTAAAAATATGTAGTAAGGATGAATGACAGATTCAGTATTTAATTAAATATAAACATTGGTTTGGTATGCGGTAGGGAATGTTTGCGAAGAGTGACTACAGATGGTACTAGGTACTGTTTCTCTGTTTGAGAGTTATACCAGAGCAGATTTATGGACTTTTATTTTGTGATATGGTTCGCTAAAGTTGTAAGTTCTGATGAAGTAGCATTCATTTTCCTTTTCAAGCCTCTTTTTTATGTACATATAAAGAGTTTTCCAGGAGGTTTTTTTGGCTTTGAGAGATTGCATTAATGCTCATACCAAATAAATCAGGCCTACTTTACCTAAGCTGTCTGAAAAAGAACAGCGAACTTAAAATGGGTTTTCTGCCTTTCTGTTGCTAACATGACAAGGATGATGTTAATGCATTTATTCTGTAAACTTTAACTGGAATACCTCCAGCTGTAGCTGCAGTAATTTGCAAAAACACCTGTGCAGATCTCAGCAGTAATAGTGGTTTTGCCAGTAAACACACAATATAGCAGAATAGAATAAATACAACTGAGCATGAATGCAGTAAAACATAACAGGAAAGTCTTATTAAAAATAATACTAAGCTTCCTCAAGGGGGGATTTAGAAGTAGTTCACACTGACATACATGAAATCACTACTTACTACTTACAGTACTTATTAATGTAATTTGTATTTATTTTACTGCCCAGTTAAATAGCTTTTTAAATGTAATTTTCTCAGTTGCCAAAGACTTCATTGAAGTCTTGAAGTAAATGTTACCAGTCACAGTATTTGTATCACGGCTATCACTATCAATTATACAAATAATCGTCTAACTTGGCTATTATTTTGATATTTATTTGAGTGATTTTTAAAAAGGCCAAACAATTCAAATGAACTACAGCTGTATTTCTTCCTGAGCAATCAGAAACTGTTCATAGCTTTTCAAAACACGTCACTGGAAAGAGATAACACCTTTTCAAAGACATCATTGAAAAAACATGAAAAGCACAATGTGGTTAAAAATGCTTACAAAAGGATGTTCATGATATGCATTATCATCATTGCTGATTCGTTGAGGTTAAGATTTTTAAATCAAGTTTAGTTCAATAATCATGACAGATGACAGTGTTAATAAGTACAATCACAGACCTACTATGCTGCTAAAGAAATTCATTCAGACAGTGGAAATTATGAGGTAAGACTGGAATGTTCATTAGCAAATTAACCGTGCAAGTCAAAGATCTGGTCAAAGTTTCAATGAGAGGAAGTGCAAAACGCTTAAAAAAGCAGTCCTTAAACCTGTATTTTCAGCCCATCACTCAGCTCCACAAATGTGCTTCCTCATTTCGCTCTGTTGAATCGTCTCGGCTCCAGTGACACTCGAGTGACTCTTCTCTCTTGGACAAGAGGAGCCGATATGAAGCTTTTCTTCTTTTTCGTTTTCTTTTTCAAGAACGGTAAGCTACTCAACCACTTCTGCTGACTCTGACACAAAACAGATGCTTCTTCAAGGGTTCTTTGGTAAAGGGAATGGTTCTATTTCGAACCATTAGTTCTATATAGAATAGTTTCACGCTCCAATAGTTCTTTGCATAGTGAAATGGTTCTTCAGACTGAGGCATCAAAAAGGGCTCTTCTATTGTTATAGGCTTGATGTTGTCACAATAGAAGAACTCTTTTTGGTGCTATATTGTACCATTTTCAAAATGGTTCTATATAGAACCATATACAACATATTCTCCAACAAGCGGAAAAACCTTTTTCACCATGCAACTATATAAAACTCATAGTTCTAAATAGATCCATTCCCTTCACTAAAGAACCCTTGAAGAACTATCTTTTTAAGAGTGTACACTCTTTAAAAAGATAGTTCTTCAAGGGTTCTTTTGTAAAGAAGATGGTTCTATGTGGAGCCATGAACACTCAAAGAATATTTTGCATGGTGAAAGTGTTCTTCAGATTGATGGAGAATGTACTGTAGATGGTTCTATATAGAACCTTTTTAAAAAGGGTTCTATATAGCACCCAAAAGGGTTCTTCTGTTGTGACGATGTCAAGTCTGTAACAATAGAGAACCCTTTTCAAAAAGGTTCTATATAGAACCATCTACAGTACATTCTCCTTCAATCGGAAGAACCATTCTTGCTGCAAAGAACCCTTTAACCATGCATAGTGTTCTTTGAGTCTTCTTGGTTCTATGTAGAACCATTGTCTTTCCTAAAGAATTCCTGAAGAACCATCTCTTTTAAGCGTGTACCTTATAAAATCTGAATGTCGTGCCTTTACTTTTCAGGTATAAACCTGATGAAAGCACAGCTAACTGCAGAGGTGTCAGGAGAAGTGAATATACACTTTATGTTTGATCCATACTTCAATTACTTCAAGAAGTCTTGCTGTAAGTTCACTCAGTTTAGGTGCTTATTCATTGTGGACAACAACGGATATGCAGATGCAGCTTACAGAGGAAGAATAAAGACCCATGAATACAGTGGAGCTCTGGATGTAAGGATCAGGAATTTGCAAGCAAGCGATGCTGGAATATACAGATGCAAGATCCATGGGATACAAAACTACATCATTTATAAAGATTTTCAAGTTGATATAGTTGGTAAGTTCTTTAAAACGTAGTTATTATAAAGTTATTGTTTGGCTTACACCAGATATAATGTCACAAAGTATCACACACAGCTGAACTTACTAAGTTCTTTACTCTTACTGTGTACAGCAGAAATACTCAGGTGTGCAAAAGTTTGAATGCCCTGGTCAGATTACATGTTTTGTTGATTTTCTAAGTGAAAGTAAGTAACACATCCTCTACAGAGAACAGACTTAATTTCTATTTATTTGTTGAGCTTAACATATTGGAAAAAAATTAAACATGCCACAATTTTATATAGTTTATATAGTATATAGTAATTTTACATGGTTTCATTCTTCCTATGTTAAACTCAGCAAATAAACAGTGTTCATTACAATGTGCAGAAGTGTCTTCTCTTGTAGAGAATGCTTTAACTTATTTTTTTCTTTAAAAAAATCAACAAAACATCATCCGACCAAGTGTGGCCAAACTTTTGCAGCACAAAAATGAAGCGCCACCAGCAGCATTATGATAATGAAATCATGCTAGTTGGTGGCTACTGGCTTACATTCATCATAAGTTTCAACAGCATGTCTGCTTAAGCTGTTTCTATAAATGACAGCCTTATTATTCAGTTATTAATCTTAAGACTAATTATTCAGTAACTACTGTGAAACTGATATGTAGAAGGGACTGACATGTTTCTTTCCCATTTCCAACATGGCTTTGTTCTCTCGTGTGTTGATGCAGACAGAAAACCTAGGCTGGACCCAGTGCTGCTCTTTCCCAAATCTACCATTTCAACTGTCACCTCACTGAACCAAATCTCAGGGAAACACCAAGAACCACCCAGGTAAGCAATCAGTACAAATATCAGTAACAAAAAGACATTTATAACAGGGAAGTGGCTTTAGTGTTTAAACCAGTTTCTTGTTAACAGGAATTTAATTGGTACAAATAAAAATGTTAAGGATATTATAAAAAATAATTTTTACCTAAAAAAGTCATTTTACATAAGTTTTACATGCAAAAAAATATATTTTTTATCTCTGACAGTTCAGTATTAAATCATTCAAAATCTATCAAGTTCGAATTTCAGTTTAATAGTTAAAATTAGTCATTTTTACTTGGGAAAAAATGAATTGTTTTTCTCCCATTTAAATAAATTGGGAAGAGCTATGAATTCTTACTAGTGAGAACTGAACTCTTACATGCCAAGATTGGATTTTTACAAGGTAAACTTAAATTTTTATTTTTGCTAGCATGAATATCATTAACAATTTTTTAAAAATCAGTTTCTGGTTTCAAGAAACTGTGGATTAAGAGCTAGAACAGCATGCCATACTTTTCTATAATTGTCTGCACTTCTCTTAACTACAGGACTGGGTTGTGAAACACTATGATCACTTCTATTTGATACTAATTCTACTCTCACTCTTGTTTGCAGTCTAATCAGTGATTCATGGAGCTTGAAACACACGCTGGGAACAGTGTTTGGCATCGTGATCATCCTCATTATCACAGTCATACTCGGAGTGGCCTACCACAAAAAGAAAGCAAAAGGTAAGAACTCAATTTCCCACAAACAAGATCCAATGCTGAAATCACAGGGTATTCATGCTATGAATAAGAGCTAGTAAGCAGCCTGATTTTGTTTTTGTAGACCTAGAATACGGCACGTCTTCTTTTTCCTCGGATAAATGTGGAAGAAGCCTCAGCAGTGCGCCTGACATCATCCCAGTAAGATCTTCCCCATTTGACTCATGCTCAGATGCCTGTGGAGCAACTGCGTGCTGTTTTGTAACACTCGAAATAAAGTCATGAACTGAAGTTTTGCAACACTGTTAGCTCTTTTGTAAGGTTGAAAAGCCCTAAAGGTGAATGTTTGCAAAAGCTGAATTGTCCTTACGTCAGCCCACTACTTTCACCATAATCCATACTATAAATATGGAGAAGTTAACTTCAGCTATGGTAGTATTCAAGTAAACTGACAATTATTCTGACGTTTAATACTTTATAATAGGGCCGGGCATTATGACAGTATATGTCATTATTGTGATAAATTATACCACAACACAAAACAATACACCTTTCGGAGCATACTGTGGCTGTCATCAGTACTTGTAGAACACTAACCAACTGCATGTTTCACTACAAAAAGAGCAATATTCGACTGTCTAACTTTATTTAGTGCAACACAGTATGCCAAATATTTAATAAAAATCATTGTTTTCACAGTTTTTGATAGTATTTTTTAAAATGTAGGACTACTGGTTCTTTTCTTCTCTGTTCCAGCTGATCAGATGTCTGAAAAAATAAATATTATCATTGTGTATCAAGACAATTTCACGAAGTATCGCGATAGTATATTTTTGCCATATCACGCACCTCTACTCTATAAATATAAATGCATATAAATAGGTGCGTCTATCTGGCTCTGTTTCTTACTGTAAGACGGAGCACTAGGATCCTATGAACTAGGATTTAATGAACGGATAATGTGTAAATACATAAAAACGGACTTTGAATGACATTATTGCAGTGTTGTAGGCTTACCTTTTTAGGTGAAAACACTGGTGTTACACAAAAATGTACCAGCACACATAAGTTTACATTTTAAACCGTGTTTTATTATTCCAAAATAGCCGAGGGAAGTCAGTAGGTTTTGTCGAGTTGGATAATGTTGAGCTAATGTTAACTGAAGAGGCAGCGGCCGTTACACAGCTAACTAGCTAACGGGTACAACTCTGGATCTGATGAGGACTCATCGTCTTCTTACAGATGTCAGTTCTCTTCAATGGATGATTTGCCGACATGTTAGTCTGGCAGAGAAATATGTTTTTTTACTGCTTCTGGACTTTATCCAGGAGTTATCCTCAGCCACAGCGGTTAGCCTGTTTAGCAATCAAACCGCGCTGTTTCTGTTTTGATTGCTAACCAGGCTAACTACTGTTGCTGATGATAGCTAGGTCGTTAAAGAATTTCAGCATAATTACATCGTTCAGATGTAGATAAGATCATTCAGATTGGATTGATGTGAAATTATCCGTTCTAGAGACACTTACCGTGTCAGAATTGTTCACAGAGTGGTGATAGGAACCCCATGTCTTAAGTGTTTAATGCCTATAAAAGCTCCCTCACAGAAAGTTATTACATGAAATGGTTACAAATATATTGTTTGCCATCTGAGACATTGGTTTTCGATAGTTTTCCAGCAAAGTTTGGACCTAAAATGTGTTTTTTTTTAAAACACATTTGTGGCAGAGAGCAAAATATTCCCTAAAGAAAACTTTTCCCCCCAGATTTACTATATCACTATTTTACCTTTAACATTATATATAAAAACTCAGGAGACATTTGAGCTTCACTGGTGGTTTTGGATAGTGAATAAAATAAATTTGTGTTGTAGACACTGCGACCCATGGTTCCAAAATCCTTTTACTAACTTTGTTTACATCTCAATTACTGAATTATGCTGAATTTTTTGCAATATCAGTGGAATTCCCCTTTAACAATGGTGTAACTGGTAACAGTAAAGCAGTGTATTAGCAAAGTGTAATAGCGCTGTATGCATACTTACTCGCAAGTACGTAAAGAAAGCTTGACACACCTTACAGTACTGTTCAAACCTAAAACTGGTGTCTCACTGAATTTACGAATACTTATTCAGCAATTTCAGTATTCAAATACTGGCACCTTGAACAGTTTAACCAACTGTACCTGGGCACATCCCTAATGGAAACTGCCAACTAATCACTACTGATTCTTTGAGAATGTAGGTTTTATTTATTATAGTTATAGATCTTAAAATATTACATGTGGTTGCTGCAATTATTTTCATTCTTGATCTCTTTGGATTCTTCAACAGCCACCACAGGAGCTCAACAGCATCATCTACACTACTGTGGATTTCAAGCCCCATGAAGAAACATCTCAACTGTATGCCAACTTGTGCCTCCACAACTCAAAAAGTGCACTGAAGTCACAGGAGAACGTGGAGTACTCTACCATAGCTGTCCACTGTCATGACCAAAAACAATATCAGTTTAATATCTAATATTTGATTTTTAAAATGTTGAAGAAATGCTCTTTTTTGTTGCAAGGGCTAAATTATGTTTGAGCCAAGAAAAATGGTTGGGGGGGTTCTGTGTATGAAAACAGCCTACAGCATTCACCCGATTATCCTCAAATTCAAGCTGATAATCTGCACTTTGAGCACATATTGATTATCTAATGATTCCAGTATGTTTTAGTAGAAAGCTAAAATGACAACAACTGTGACAACATCCAAATATTTTTGCACCTGACTATGCCTAGTTGTTGAGCCTTCTGTGAAACCCTCTGTTTAATTTATGTTTTTTTACTGACACTGAAAAATAAATCACTTGTTCTTAATGTTGGCTTTGACTGGAAATTAAATCAATGACTTTTGCACAGTACTGTATATTGTGGAAATATATATGTCTATTATTAACCCATCATGGCCTTAAAAAGTGACCTTGTTAAGTTTATTACAATGCTGTAGATGATTTTTTCACTGTTCCCTGTTGTCATGATGATGGGAATGTCTTCTACTGATCATTTAACAATGTATTTATATACAAAAATGTGTGAGAACTTCAGCGGTGAAACCTGTTCTATCATAATATGAATAAAATTCTAATGATGATCTAAGACAGCTGATAGAGTCTCTCCACACCTTAAATAAATCAGAGTGCTGATCCTTTTGTAACTGATCATGTGTGTGTGTCATCTTTTCAACCAGTCCATCAAAGTAGGGATCCATTATCACATTTTTCTGTGTTGAACTTGATAAAGCAATGACAAAAGCAGGTATCATTTCTGGTGCTGATTTCTTTGTTTTATTGCATGTTAGAGTTGCTCTAATACATATGCTGCTTCCTAGCTTGCCAAAAACATAACATGAAGGTCGAAAATTCTCTTGATGTTGCCATTTATGATTAGGCGAACTGAGCCAGACCCACACTGCTGGTCTCCCTGTTGAAGATGGTGTACCAGTTCCTGATGAAAACATCACCCAGGATCCAGGAGAAGCTGGTTCCAAGAAACCTGTCTGGCAGCCGTAGTAGCTCTAGAGCCAGAACAGCATGTCAACATTGTTACTCTACATAAATGAAGTGTACTGAAGTTAAACCTACTTTTTTCGTTCACTAGCAGTTTGAAAACCACAGAGACTAAAAAGGTATAGACTAACCTCAGTGACGAAGGATGAAGCCGGAATGGAGAAGGAGTAGCCGTTAAGGGTGAAGGTAACTGACGGCATGCTCTGGACGCTGCTGCAGCTCACAATGTACTGTAATGAGAAATTCAATTTGGGGTTACACCAAAGTGGATTAGTTAAGAGTCGCCTTCACTGAGGATCAATAAACACATGTTCAGCCATCCACTTACATCTCCGTTTTCGTCCTGCTCAGCACCCAGATAGGCATTCAGATTGCTGATGGCACTACTTGGTCCGACAATAAGGGAAGTTCCGGTATCAACAATAGCCTGGCAACCACCAGAGCAACCAACAACCTCTCCATTGATGGTGACACTGCAAAAGGCCAGAGAAAAGAGACTTATAAACAACTTCTATGTGGCTTTACTGTTTGATAGCTAAACACTGAGATTAAAACAGAAGAACACATGTATGAATAAATACAGCAGATATTAAAGTGATATCTAATGGAAACCACATGGACATCTGCTATAGAGAAAGTCTAGAAATTACATTTCTAGACTAAATTCCACAAGATTTACAGAACTCTCAGGGCATGTACCCCTTTGGGGGGCTGCTGTAAATTCTATGTAAACAAACTCAGGGTTTCAGTGTAGACCATCATGTACTGTAGCTCACCTGTCCATGGTGATCTGGTAGTAGCTCTCAGAGGAGAGAGGGATCCAGTAGATGCTGCCAGTGTAGTAGGAGCTGTCAACCTCACCCAGGAACAACATGCTGCCCTGCTCATCACTGAAAAATGAAAATAAGATTAGTTTGGGATTTTAATATGCATTGCTATGCTGTCCACTTGGATAAATTGTAGAACACTGGTTCAGCTAAAAATGTTTAAAGACGTTTGCTTCTTTAGTTTTGCCATCAGGCTATAAAACTAATGTAGCTAGGAAGCTTGGTGGAGCATGCATGGCTGAACAATTGGCCTGGCTCTTTCTGAGTGGGCAGGACTGCCCCCATCTACCCCATCACTCGTTGCTAGCATGATGCTAGCCTATGTTGGTATGTGTTAGCTGATGTTCTTCTACAAGCACACTGAGCCATCCAATGATGTTGTGTTAGCAGCAGTTGAAAAAGATGTGGTGGCTGGCTTCACATGATGTATGTGCCAGCCTTCACCCTCCTAGCACTTGTAGTATCATGTGATTAGGGAAGGCCTATCTAGCAGGTAGTACTGGACATGACTAAATTGGGGAGAAAATTGGAGAAAATGACAAAAGAAAAGTAATGGATGATTGTAGTCACTAGGTTACATGCAAACTGCATAGCTTCATCATTGCTCCTCAAGCCATCTCGCTACCATTAGTAAGTAAAGTAGCTCCTATTAAGTCATCTCAAATAGACCTGCTTTTTCTGACACGTTTGATGTACTGTTATCATTAAATGTAGATCAAAGTACAGACCACTGTTTTAGCACTGTGGCATGTCCATTTTTAAAGAAAACAGTAAATCATGTAGTCAGAAACTTTTTACGACAAGCTGATGATTTAGGCATGCAGTGTGGCATGATGCTAACCTAGTGGCTATGAGTCTACATTACTTGTAACTTAGCTTCAACTAAACCTAAAGAAGAAACCAAACATGTCTTTGCTGTTTAACTAATTAAACACAATTAAGAGAGAGAATGTGTTTCAGGTGTCATCTTACTCGCTGCTCAGGTAGACAGAGAAGACGTCCTCAGAGACCAGGCCCTGGCTCACCATGTTGTCAAAGACAGGGGTGGCGCCATCGGAGGAAATGGACTGATAGGCCAGACCCATGATGCCGTCTGGAGTCATGCTATCCATGAAGGCAGCCTCAGACTCGCTCAGTCCAAAGATCTGATTCTGAACTGCGAGTCCACCAACCTACAGCAAAAAAGCTAAGGAGTCACTCACTCGCTCCATCTTGCCGAAAGGGTCCAGACGTCATCAGTGAATACCTTCATTTACCAAAGTGTGGATTTCTCTGTGTCTTAATCAGTTTAATCAGTTCTGTCTAGGGTTTCATGGTATTACAATTCCCAGGTTTATTACATCCTAAGGTTTATTCTTTCTGTAAATGTTAACTGACTGAACTATTCTTAAGTCATAGGATTGTGAAATGCAAGGCTTACCATTTAAAGGGTTAAGTTAGGAATGGTTTGAAAGGTAACTTCAAGAGTAGGGTTGCATTGTAATGGTGGGGGAGGGGTCCAGAAAAACAGTAAACTCTGTAGATTCAAGACTCTCCAGGAATGTTTTAGTGTAGACAATTATACGATAAGATTGTACGTGATGATCCGTGCACTACACACAATGTCAAAATTGCTACACAGAGTAAGACCAAGACTAAGACTAAGAAATGATAATTACTGTCACAGTGTCGTATCCCAGGATGCCAGTCATGCTGCCAGGGCCGTATGCAATGGAGAGAGCCTCATTGGTGCTCTGGAAAGTGCTGGAATCCTGAGGGTTGAACCGATCATGGTTCACTAAAGGAAAAAAATAGATTTTCTAGTCTAGTTCTACTTTTTCTTGCAATTTTATAAGACTACAATGTAAATGAAATTCAGCACTTACAGCAGGCCTGGCTTGAGCAGTAGACAGAAGGCACCCACAGATTGGAGGAGCCAGTATCCATAAGCACTGTGAAAGACTGAGGAGGGGTGCCAATGGAGATCACACCATAGTAGGAGAGCTGAGAGGGACAAGAACACTGATGTTTAAACAGAATTCTCTCATGTTAATGCTAATGCTAATATCTGCTCAGTGAATTTGTAAACTATTTTATTTGTTTATTTACTTGTAAAAAACACAATCTTCTTTGATAAGACACAGACAGAGATTCTGGTTAACGTACATCAGCATCATTGGTCATAGACTCGACCATTCTGCACAAACTTGGTCCATGGTGTATAGGGATGTGACCTTCTATACATGCCCCATATGCCTTTCTCCTGCAGTCTCTGGCGAGCAGTTTTGCCCTTGATCAGAGGCACCCTGGAAAAAAAAAATGGCAATTGTTAATTATTAATACTCTTTCTACATAGTATTTTTTAGAAGTAGACATAAAAGAAAAACTCTGAAACAGCAATAAAATGATAAAATATAGAGTAAAGTGAGGAGTGAAGGACCCAGCTCTTTCTACATAGTATGTTCGGTAACACTTCACTGTATGGCAGTGTTCATATGGCTACAGGACATCTACATAATCTTGTCAGGACAACTGACATAAACATTTATTCATGGCTTATACCAGCAGGTGTCATCTGTCATAAAGGCTGCATTTGTCAACTTTGATGTCAATTTTTTCTGACATTCGATGTGTCATTGCGTGAAATTGGGTGATTTACTGGGTGACATAGTGCGACATAACGACTGACTTTGTAGCATAGTGTACATCACAGCAACATAATGCTGATGATATGACACATCCTCAGTCTTATAAATGATAAAATGAAATGAATGACTATGAGAAATGATGCCTATTGAAATAAGTGTTTGTTAAAGACTGAACTTTTGTGTATTAACACAGGATTTATTTCACCTAGTATGTGTGACTGTCACATTGTACAGCTCTGGTCTCTTATTCTTAATAACATTATACACAGTGGAGCTGCATACAGCGCATTTTAGCATCAAGACCTTTAACACAATTGCGTCCCAGTACAGAGCCGAGTGTAATTGCTTACCTGATGCACTCTGAGAGTGCCACCAACGCACACAGAACCAGGATCAACTTCATTGTTTTTATGGAGACTTCTGTCCAGCTCAGGAGTGTGAGTGCACATTCTGAGACCCCACACTTTATATATACAGACTCACTACAGAGTCTATCTTTACTTTTCCATTGCAAAAGGATAATAACCCAGATTAACTTGTGCCACTCATTGGAACGTCCCAGTACGTAGCATTTTACTTGTTTGCATATGTTTTTCTTAATGTTTTGGAATCATGTTCTTGG